TAGTACCAACAGTTTCTTAGCTCAGATTTACCTTCATGGTTTCCTGTTTGGCACTACCTCAAATAGCTCTACAAGAGCTATCTTTTTCCTTTCCTCACAGTTTAATGTGTCTTGGAGTTCACTTAATATCCCCTCTTAATTGCAAATATTTTTTTTTCTATTTGCAGCATGATCTTAAGATGTGAAAATATATGGTCTAACCAAGAGACAGTAATTCAACACATTGCTCATTTTGCTTTGAGGATTCAAAAGCCCTGTGCACCATGGGGCTGGGTTTTGGAAATTTGCCACCGGTCATTCAGACATAGGCAGTAGGAATAACTGTTTAAAGGAGGAGAAACATTTGATTTTGTTTGCTTTGCTTCTTGAAAAGGCTGTACACTGTCATGTGCCCTCTTCACAGAAAGCTGTGGTGACCATTCAACCAAAACACTGCACTGCCAATTCTGTTATCTATAGTATTCTATATCTATAGTATTAATGAGCTTTGTAGTCTTGATAGAAATCAAAGTCACTGGAGATGATGTAGCTTAGCAGAGTATATATGTATCTTGTTCTTAAATGTAGATTAAAGATATATTTGTGTGTTTGTTGCAGTCTTGACACTGGAAACCTGACCTTTCCCTTGGCAATCACTGCTCTGCAGGCTCTGGGATCACAGCTCCGTACAACCCAGTAGTAGTCAACCCAGTAATTTCCTATTGTTACTAAATTGGTCATAGGTGACTTCTGAAAAAAACAAAAAAACAAACTTACTCTGCTCTCAACTTGATTTGTGACAGTCTCTGAGTTTCAGGTAAGCAGGAACTGCAGTTTGTAGGGTGAAGAACATAATTTTTTGCCTTAGGGAAATATTTAGGGGGAAGCATCAGCATTCTATACTGAAAATATAGGTAAATGGATGAAATTGCTAGCTAAAAGAGGTGAAATGTACAAAGTGTAAATGAGAATGTAGGAAATGTGATAGAAAGGGTGGACTCCTAGTATCAGTACAATTTGTAAAATAATTCCTGTTCTGCTGAAATCAGATACCCAGTGGTACTGCAGAAGTAATGGAGGTAGAGGTGGGATGCTGTTTTCCTAAGCTCATCTAAAATGGGTTGGATTTGAAATTTAGCTTCACTGGCATTGTGGATATTTGGAGTTTATTCACAAAGCAGTGGAAAAGTTTTTGCAAAGTTATAGGAGCCATCTGCTACTGAATTTTCTGAGTGTGACTGCCTAGTTATTGCCTGTGTTTTTTGGGGTTTTTTTTAAGTAACTTCATTGCTGCTCATTTCATACTGTTACCTAATTTTGTTACCTGAGAGCAGGACACATATAACCCAACTTCAAACCTTTCTTTTCTTCCTTTGTTGCTGCAGGCAATTGAGGCTCTTCCCTGCTTATTCCTATGTTTTGAGAGATGTCTCCTAAGTTATAAAAAGAAATCAGATGCCTTAAGTGATTTTTGTCTCTTTTGTCTCCAGTGAGGACTGAATGCACTGGCATGTCTGTGCTGAAGTCTGCAGTGGTTCATGTCATGGATACTTGCTGAATTTTGGTGGTCTTTTGGTTTATCTTCTTTTGGACTGTAAAAATATGTAAATAATATGTTAAGTCACACCTTCCTGCCACTGGTAAATAGAAAAGGGCAGGGCAAATCTCTGATGAATGATTTAAATCCTTGAAATGTATGGTCAAGATTATCTAGCAATGCAAGTTTTAATATAAAAATCTTTATGAATACCTCTCTCTGTGGGGGTTTTTAATTTAATCTAGTTTTAGATGGCAGATGCAACATTTTGTGAAGCGAACTGTGCTAGCAGGGCACTATGTAATAATTTAGAAAGTCTAAATTGCTTGAAAAATCTGCAGGTTTTGTTTAATCAAGCAGGGAGAAGGGAGGAGAGTGCTCTAGTTACCTGGGCTGAGGTGCAGACTCAAGGAAGCCCTTGCAAAGGACACTTATGGTCAGAACTTCAGACACTTGCAGTAGCTGAATTGAAAATGGAGAGCAGTTGATATCTGAGGCTTAACTTTGTTTGCCTTAGTCTCAGTGCTTGGAGGTATGATAGGGGTAACTGCTGGAAGTGAAAGTTACATATGTACCAATATTGTGAAGCTCTTTCATTAGACTATTGACTACAGTGCAAATAGGCACCAAACAGTGACAGGAAAAATGGGGTGTAAACAATTGATCCACTTGTTTGAAGCAATAATGAGAAAAAGTAACTTAGTATGGTGCTTTATCTGGGTGGCATTGCTCTGCCAACAAGGCCAGACAGCTTTGTGAGAGCAGAGGGGTGTGTTAACAGATATAACAGGCCTGATTATGAGCTAGTGGTTAACTAACAAATATTTAATTCCGAAAAGTGGGAGAGAGATGAGAAATCTCTGGATAATTTACAGGCTCTGCCAAATAATTAGTGTTTCTCAGGGTTGGTGTTATCTACGAAGGTAATTTAATGCCTAATTTTAAAAAATAGTTACTGTTACATTTTTAGGAGGGTGGTAAGGTAGTCTAGTTTAAGAAATCTGAAAAGGATGGGGAACAACAAAGTGACAGATATTTAAAACTTTTAAGTATTTGGGAGGTGCTGAATGTATGGTTAAAAAGGGGGAAATAGACCATTGAAGTAGAGGACAGCAGATACCCATGGGTACTACTTTCTGTATGGTTTTATTTTAGGGCTGATGAGAACATTGCATCTAAACAATTTGTATAATTTTTTTATTTCTAATAGTTTGATTCTGGAGTGCTTGCAACATGCTCCAAAGTATTTTGGAATGGGTGGTGAAGGACTGCAGCCCTTTTCTGAAATTTTTTTGCATTTACTGTCTTTCTTCACCTCCCATGTAAACCTGTGGCTCTTTGCTTTTGAGAGCTATGTACTGAAAACCTTGAACTTTATTTAGTTATTTTCTGCATTGTTTTAGACTGATGACACAAATCTGTTGATTGCAGTGATTTCTGTAATATGCAAAAATAGTCAGAAAGATGACACTTAGATATTTTTTTTTAATAAGAGATGTCTAACAGATTTTATGGACTCCCCAGGTACTGGTAGTGGTTTGTCAAAGTCCTGCAAAAGCTCTGCTAATATCTGACTGAATTAGACCTCTGTATAACAGCTTTGAAGAGTGAAAGTAGCACCTGCAATTCAGGTGATCCAGAATATGTTGTCTGGTAGGGGGAGTATTTGTCCTGCTCCTCCTTTCAGGATATTCAGTGAGCAAATATGGAGTATGTTGGCTGCCTAGGACTCCTCAAAGTCAACTACGAGTTATTTCAGCTTGGATGTATTCCTGCAGTTGCAGTTAGTGGGTGTGCTAGTCTATGCTGGTGAAGTGAGTTAGTAGAAGAGTAATTTTGTTTTGTTTTTAAATTAGTATATTGGTTTGACATGTTTTTCTGAAAATGACTGCATGAACAAAATTCCTAGTTCTATTTATACAGAAAACAGGCATCTAGGGATTAAATCAAACCTGTTTAAATTAATACATACATACTGTGTGAGAAAATAGGACATTAGATCATGATGGTGTAAAAACTGAAGCTCTCAGTAGGACTTAAAGTAGTAAAGTCCCTTTCATTTCTTTTCCTTAAGAAAGTGTTTCTACTTACTAAATATGTATGAAATGTTGCTTGTTTGTAGGAGAATGGATTGCAAGTAACGTTGCCCCTGATGAGTTGCAGCTGTATAATTACCAAAGAGGAGGAATAGCCTTGCCTTAATGGGTTACACCTATGTCCAGTGAGGATGGGTGTTAAAAAAGGGTGGGTTAGCTTATTGAGAGGTTTTTTTTTGTGGGGGATTGTTGGGGGGTTTGGTTTTGTTTTGTTTTTGCTGGCCCTGCTGTGAATTTGAGTCTGCTGGGAGTTGGCACCTGCAGTTAGAGTCTGCTAGGGCCTGCAGCCAGAGTCTGTGAGTAGCTGGAGTATGCTGGCAGTGCTGTCTACTGTAACACTTTTTCACCTTATTTTGACTCAGACTGTACCTGTCTGTACAGCTTTCAAACAAGGTACTTTGTGCCTCTTTTAAAACTTGATCTAGTTTTGCTTTCTCTCACAATCCCATTTTAGATCATGCTGCAGGAATAGGGTATAATACAATGTTTTTTTTGTATTCAGACTGTATTAAAGACAAAGAAATCATTTATGGAAAAGGCTGTACTGGAAAGAAAAGCAGACTTGAAGTTTGTGCCTGGCGACAGAAGAATGAGACCAGTGTTGATGCTGTGTGTTGCCTTGGTTATGCTGCGTCCTAGCAAGGCCTGGAGGTGTGTGCAGCTGTCTCCCAAGCAGAGCTGTCTGGGAGAGGGTGGGTGTATTAATGCCAGTCCATTTCCTTGTTGTGTTCTCATAGTCAGTGTGAGGGTCATGCTGGTAATGATAAATTTCATCAGGTTTTAGATACTATTGTAAATCTTCAGGCACTCTAAGTACTTTTGGGGTTTCCTTTGTCCAGCCACCCTCCCAAAGCAACTGTTAGAAGTGGATGCAAAAGGTGTGCTATGAGAAATGAGTGCAGATGGGAGTGGGATAAAAAGAAGCAAAATGATCTGCACTTCAGCCCCTGAAGGCTAGGACTGGAATGCTCACTTCATTTTTAAAATGACACAAGAGACCATCTGAATTACAAAACCAGCCACACAGCTGCAAAACCTGTATTGGAATGTGGTTAGTAATACTCTTTGTGATATGGTAATGACTTAATAAAAGCTGCTCATGGATTTTATCTGGGCAATAATTTGAATGCTAGGTTAACACGTTAATTGTATACAATTTTCTAAACAATAAAGCATTTAGATTTTCATAGCAATAGAATTTGTGGGTGTCAGTGATCATGATTTAGTCTGTATTCAGAGACAAATTTGACTCTTAAAGAATTCATGTTATGTTAAGTTTTAAACTATTCCCATTCTTCCACAGGTATTCAGCAGAAGCTATGTAATTAGCTATGTAATTCTTATTTTGCTTTGACCCACTGTTAACAAAAGTCTTGGTTTTTTGACAGATATATATCTAAAACTGGAAGATGTGACCCGTAAGTTTAATAAGCCATGCATAATGGATGTAAAAATAGGTAAGAAAAGTTATGATCCATATGCTTCAGCAGAGAAGATACAGCAGCAGGTCAGCAAGTACCCCCTGATGGAAGAGATCGGCTTTTTGGTTCTTGGAATGAGGGTAAGAACTTGTTTTGTCTTCACTTTTAGTTTATGCTCAGGCCTCTTGTCCCACACCATTTACAGCAACTGGTTTTCCTAGCAAAGAACATTCCTCTTGAGTTTTACATAATGTCGTGGTTTTAAATAATACCGTGTTAATGTCTTGGTAGTGCTGGTATTAGCTGTCATGTGAAATCTGTGCCAAAGCACTGCTCTGCTTCGAAACAATTATTTAACTTGGCTGAGTTCATTAGGGCAAGCTATTTGCAAGCTGGGTACTGTGTATGTGTACAAGAGAGGGGCTGGGTGTTTAAAACTGAGTATAGTTGCAATTAATTCTTCACAACCACAACAGACATTTAAGATTGTGAAGAGGATTTTTGTGTTTGTTTTCTTGCAGGCTTATATCAGAGATTTACATACCGAACCAATTTTTATAATAATTTAACAATGAGCTGTATCCTCCACATTTTTCATCTTGATGCTCTGTTTTTAAAGGAAAATAATTTTACATAAGTTTTCTATTTAGGGAAGAATAAGTAAGCTCTCAGAGGTCATGCATATAACCATGAACAGCTGCCGATGTTCTGCAGAGGTGATGCATGTAGTTGTGAACAGCTGCTTATGTTTTATGTTTTAAAAAGCTTTCCATCAAAAGGAAACTTCCTTTGATATTTGCAGGCTCAAGGATTGGCTGTCAGGGGAAGGTTAGTTGGGCATGCAGTCATCCCTATGAACTCTTAGTACTCTTAAAAATACTGAGTCAATATGTGTATATTGGCTACTTTAAAACTTCAATGTAAAGAAAAGCTGTACAGAACATTTGTGGCTCAGTAAGAGAAATACATTTATGTTACTGAGCTCCTGATGGAATTCAAAAATTTTCTGCAGTGATATAAAGAAATAATTTTCCTTTTGATGTGAGATTTTTGTTTTTCTTTTCACACACATAGCCAGGGCTCCTCAAGCTCTGCATCAACATGCATAAATGGCTGGAGACTCTGATAACCTTCCCCTTTGCTGTTCAATAGCAACAGCAGCCAGATTGCATCATTGTTCAGGATAATTCTAGTATTTCTGTAATGTTTTGTGCAGAACTGCCCAGCCTCCCAGCCCTTAACTCTGCCTTGAGGTAAGCTACTATAGAAATTATAGTGGTCATGAGTAGTAATTATGTAAGCCTATGAGCAAGAATGTGGGAGTTAAGTCATTGTTTCTAACATTGTCACTTATGTGTGTCTTTGTCCTATTGCAGAATTTTTTTCAATCCCTTAATTCAGACTGGATGTATAATGATGATTGTCCCAAGGAATGCAGTTTTCCATCCAGTGTTTAACTAGATGAGATTTGCATTTTTGCCTTTGGCATCCAATTGCATGTTGAAAGCTGTTTTCCAAAGAGAATTTAGAAGGTTCCTTCTGCCCTCACACAGCACTTGGCAAAGTCTGAATTCACAAGGCGTGTTCTCTGCCTCTTCATTATGGGGTGTTTTCAGCCTGTCTGCTTGCTTTATTTTTGCAACATTCTGGCCATAATATGAAACACTCCTACATGGATATGTACTGCCCAGAACAGCTCATGTGTTGGATGAAGGTTGTTCCTGTTTGCTGGACAAAATATGATGTAACAAGGAAGTACAGAGGTTTGGTTTTAAACTCTCCATTCAGTGTTTTTTTACCACAGAGGTGGGTTTGTGTGGTAAATTTTTACAAGACAAAGAAGAAGGCCAGGGAAAAGAGAATGTAGCTACACTTTTTCTAAAGCACCCATCTTACGAGTTGTCATGAAGAGATGCAAGGGAAAAAGTGTTATAGGTGGGGGTTTTACCCCAAAATCTATTTACAGTGTTTTTTTACCCCAGAGGCTATTGAAGCAGCTTTTTCTTATGCATTGGTAAGCAAGCAGTCATCTGTTCATATGGTATGTCCTTAAAAATACGATTCTGCTGTCTAGCCCAGCATTAATTTATGTACACAGTTCTGGCATTTGACCTGTATTTAGCTTAACACACTGAATAGACAGAATAGATGCATGGAAATACACTTAGAAAGCACAGTTATTTTAATAACATAGTTTAAAAACAATTCTGTATTTAGTGGAGAAGTTCCTTGAAGTTCCTTTCTTTAATAGATGTCCCTGGATCCCTGGAATTGCCCAAGGCCAGGTTGGATGGGACATGGAGCACCTAATTTAGTGAAACGTGGCCCTGCCCATGGCAGGGAATTGGAACTGGGACGTCTTTAAGGTCCCTTTGAAACCAGATTGTTCTGGAATTCCATCAGAATGGACATGATTTGTTATGAAAGTAGTTAGAGTTTATGTAGAAGTTGGAAGTCTCAGGTACTGTTGCAGTAGCAAAAATACAAATTGTAATTTGGTTTCTGTAGTAGACATACAAAACAATTAAGAAATCACTTCATGGCACAGGCAGTGTTAAATACAGAGCATTCTGCGTGCTATTGAGTACAAGCACGATGAATTTAAAAGTGAATTTTCTAATTTATAGCACACGATTCTGCAGGATATTTTCAAATTGACTGTAGCTGACTCTATGGGGTTTTTGTGAACTCTTTTTAGTATTGTGGTAGTTTTCACAAGTTAGTAACAAGATTTAGAAGAGAAGTCAGCATTAAATCTTGAATCTAGTTCAGATTCTTCTACACTAAAAAACTACCAGAACTGGAGTTTTTACATTTATAAGTCTAATTCAAGCTTTCATGTCTAAGAAAACGGGAAGACAAAGCAAAACAAAACCTAAAAGAAAACAAACAAAAACATCCATGAAATGAAAAATAAATAAAACCCTAACCCAAAGAGACCAGATGAAAGCTCTGAAAAAAAAAAATCTCTCAAGCTGGAGCAGGTGGTATTTTATTACATAAAATCAATTTATTCTAATGAGATGCTTCATGGAAGTTTTGTGAGTCTAAAACTACTGTATTAAGTTATTTCTAAGATGGTTCATGACTTAATTGCAGTGTTGTAGTTTATTTTATTTAGGAGATTAATAGCCTGCTTTTTCACTGGTTAAATTTTAACATAATTTCATTCTACCACTTTTTTTTGTAAAGTCTTGACCAACACTTTATATTGACTGTCAAAGCATTTGGAGGTGCTCTTAGTCATATCACTCATTCAAGGTAATCCAGAGGAACAAGGAAGCAAAATGGTCAGAGTAATATCTAAGTATAGTCTTGGAAATGAAGGAAAAGGGATGCATCCTTCCTGTGCTGAATTTTCAAGGCAGCAGCAAGCAGAGATGTGTGTACTTTCATCACTTGTTGTCTAGCAACAATAAATTAAGTTTCAAAAGGTAAAAATTAGGGAATGACATGTTTAGATAAATGGATTTGGATAACTGGGCATGCTCTCAGCAGCAGTGGTAATGTGAGAGCATTACTATAAAGCAGAGATACCAAATAAGAGGATGTTTTTAAACAAAAATTCTACCTTTATTATTTTTTTCTTCAAATCCTTGCTTTGCTTTCTTTTTGAAAAAGAAAAAATAAGGCCTGTTGAAACTCTTTTAGATCTTCCACTGTGGCAGGATAAAGGGCCTGTAAAGAAACCTGGGTTACTTGAGCATGAAGGAAACATGTATTTATATTGGGTCAGTCATGGGGTACAGGCAGAAGTGGGTGGGTGTGGGTCTTGGCCTAGCACTGGGAGGGTCTCTGCAGAGCTGGAGGATGGATGCTGGTGTTGGATGTGCCTAGATGAGTTGGGATGCCACCTGCTTATTCCTGCTTTTAGCCTGTGGCTCTAGCTTTGGTAGCAGCTGGGTACTGACCTTCAGATGCCCTCAGGAGTGCAGAGGTGCCTTTTGTAAACAGAAGCTTCTGTTATGTCTAAGCATTCACTCACCCCTATCTGTAGACAACTGGTAGGTGTATTCACAGAAAAAATCTGAGAAGTGGGAAGCTTGGCACTGTCGAGTCTGGATGCCTCAGCATCAGAGCATGTATCTTGAATCTCTTTGCCCTTGCTTAGGACACCAGATCCCACACTGCCCTTGTGTGGGGTGTGCAGGGGAGCAGGAATGGGCATTAGGAGCTGCACAGGAAGCTGCTTTATAGGCACCATGGGAATGCCAGTGCCACACAGGTCTATACTGTGCATGTTGCTGAGTCTGTCCTCGCTCTCCAGGTGCTCTGTAGTGTTCTACAGGCCTGCTCAATTGGGGTTATTCTTCCCACTTTGGGAAAGTGATGTAGATTAGCAGATATTTTTTTGCAGATTTGAAAGAACTCTGCAAATTACTGAATAGGGATTTTTATTTGTGCCAGTAGAATCTCCCCCAGACAGTGCTTGAATGTGTATTTAAATTGTACTTTCTGGAAGTCAGGGAGTTGCCACAGTATTTGAACAGTATATACATTTTTCTGCCTTACCATGGACATTGGTACTTGTAACTTTTCTCTAAAAAATCCTTTTTCTGTTTCTCTCAGTCTGCTGCATTTCTCCTGTATTTTTCTTTTTCTTTCTGGATCTCTCAGCCTCCTTTGGACTGTATCTTTGGGATCCTCCCTCGTGGGGAGCCCTGCTTATCTCAGTTCTTATGATTTGAAGAAAACTCCTGAGCTCATTAGAATCTTGTTTCTCGTGTTTATTAAAAGGTCATCACAAAACTTGACAGGTCTTTCTAGGCTGGCTGCACAAGGTTATATCTTTGTAATCTGGTACATTGCTTTCTTCTGATGGTACAAACAAGGCCTTGTGGCTCACTTTGTGTCTGATGCACAAAATGGCCCCCAAGTATGCAGTTCTTTTATCTTTATACCTATTTTTGCCCAATTAACAATAGACACATATATATTTTTCTTAATGACCCAATGACCCTTCACCCCATGTGCTGCACTGTGGCATTTTCTGTCCAATCAATTGCTACTACCCAAAAACCTCTAGGAGAAGAACATGAAGAAGAAGGAAGAAGGGACAAGAGACAGCTCCCTAAATCCTCCATCTTGCCTCTTGTTCTCTAACTTTTTCACCCCGTGATTTAAGAAAACTTTTTAATCTACACACTTACACTTCTAGCTTTTTCTATCTAACTTCAACATTTGTTCTCATGTATCACCATGAAAACATGCTCATGATTTTCATGTTGTATGAAATTCAGTGTTTTTCTGGATCTTTAAGTATCAGAAACAAGGGCACACACTCTGTATCTCAGACTCCAACAGTACTGAACTACCATAATTAACATTACATAACATTTGATATCTGTTTGCCTTTGGTTTAATGTCCTAAAGTTGAAGATGCAAGGTTTCAAATTCTGTATCTTTGCAGAGACCTTGCAAGGGTTGTGCTTTTTTAAAGATTGTGCTGGTCCAACTTCTTATTTTAATTCAAGGTTTCCATCAGTCCAGGAATGTCATATACTGTAACTGAAAAAAGGGTACAAAAAAGAAGGAACTGTATTTAAAAAAAATGTACCAAAAGCTGTTTTGGTATGCAAACAGCAATGACTGAACACCTCACAGGGAGACAAAAGCCAAGTGCAGGTTTATAACATCTAAAGATCATTTCCCTCAACAGTTAATAGTCTGTTTTTTGATGTGCTGCCCATACAGAGTCACTACTACTCCTAATTGTAAACTGCACCTGTTAGCTTGCTGGATTCCAGAGCCATTCCTACAGGAAGCTAACTGAGTGGAAGCTACTTGTAGGCACAAGGAGAAGCCTTTGCACTGTCAACCAGAACAGCTCTGATTTTGCATAGTAAGAACATATAAAAATGACTAATGAAGCAGGAGGGTTATTGTGGGCAGTGTTTTGTAGTTCATAGAAAGTTTTCTTAATCTTCCACTGGATTCCAGGAAACCTGCCACTGGATACAGAGGAAACACATAACAAGCTGTGGCAGGTAGACAAGAAATGAGATTTTCCTGCCTAATTGTTTCTTGGCTGCTATTAAGGTTACAGATCTGACTTGTCATTGTTATGACAGAAATGGGCTAGTACAGACAGCTGCAACAAGAGGGATACAGAAAAAGCTTGGTTCAAAGGCAAAATGTCATTTTGGGAAGGGTTAATAGCAGATGATTGGTAGTGACCATGTGAACAAAAACACAGTAGAGCAAAAGGTCTTTCAAATAGGAAGTTGATTTTAGCCTCCTGTTCCTCCAGCACAGCCATGGGTGTTTGCATGGGTGAGGATGAAGCAAGGGCTGGTGAGAGATTGTTTCTGTTTGAACTTGGCTTTCAGCTCCCTTGCTTTGAGAATGAGGTGTAATGTATCTATGTTTGAGTGAGGCTTTCCAGGAATGTTCAGCTAGTCTCTTCCTGCAGTTGCGCAGAGTCTCAAGGTGGTGGTAAGAGATGGTTTTTGTGATTATGCAGATCTGTTGTCCTTTAATGCCACTGGCTGTAGCCAAGCCTCTTGGTGACTGAGTGCCTTCTGAGTGCACAAGGCAGTTAAACACATACATTAATTACGCTCATGCTGTGGGTCTGGGACTTGGTGCTCTGTCACTGACTGTATGGTTAAAAATATGCTGTTAATGCAGCATGAATATCCATCCAGCTTGGTGTTTGTAAGCTATATAGAAAGACATTTGGGAGATGCGTTTCAAATTATTTTTTTTTCTGGTTCAAATTATAAGAAGAGGTGGGGCAGCTTCTTGAGAAACCAGTTCAGAAGCATAAGGTCTTCACACAGATGTGCTGCTCCAGAGTTTCTTTGGAAAGCAAAATGAGCTTGCAGATCTTAATCAGCATGCTTGAGCTAGTGCCCACGTCACAAAAACTGTAGCTCCTCCAGGAAGAGGTATGGTTCTGGTAAACAAGATGATTTGGTCAGGTACTGCTGCAGCACTGATGTCTGCAGAAAGCTGCTCCTGGGCCAACTCCATGAGAGCACTTAATATCATTAAAATGAAGTCACAGCTAGTGAAAATTTAGTTGTAGTCATCAGACTTTTGATTCTCTTTCTAAGCAATATTATTCTCTATTTAACTGCCTTTGACTTGTAGTTCTTTAAAAAGTTTTGAAACTTTTGGTATGCTTTTGAAGGATACTTTTGTACCTGAAGTGTTTACATAAGTAATCTTTGGGTATATGCTGTACTTTCATGTGCTTTGGAAAAAAACCAGCAAAAACTAAGTGGAGAAAAATTGCTGTTCCTGTGAAACCAAAATCACAGTTGTCAGATGCAGTTTTAGAGTAATTCATCTCTGCAATGGCCTTCTTCATTTCATAGACATGGAGGCCTCAGTTTCTCCAAGTATCGTAACAGTGTTTGAAGTTTCTCTGCTACTGAGATCAAACGTTTAGACTTACGGCTCTTTGTTTTTTTAAAATAATGGGAACTGTTTACTTCCCCTTCAGTTAATGGTTGGTGACTTAAAGTCAGTTTCTATGCACTATAATTGAAGTTCCTGGAGAACTGGGTTTAGTTACTTCTATCTTTTTGTCAAAATAAAAGCTATTTGAGACTGTTCTTCCCAGCTGCTTTGAAAAACGGGAGGATCTGTATAATTGTCCTGGATTTATTGTTGTTTGGATGGGGGAGAGACATTTCAGGGTGATGGGCTGTAATGAAAACAGGGAATTATATTTTCTTTATTTAATGCTTCTGTACCATTCATTTTTATTGCTGCTGTTCTACTATTGTGGACTTCATTGGTTGGCTTCAGCAAGAATAAGGCCCCAGAGGAGAGATGAGAAGCAGGCACCTCAGTAGTGTGCCCTGACTCTCTAAGTGGGAGCCTCTCTGTTTACAGCAGTAAAGGGAGGGCAGGGCTGTGGATGGGGTGGGTGCCACAGGGATGGGTGGTCTGAACAAGTGCCAAGCACCAAATTCCTACCAGAGACAGCTGTCTGCTTAGTAACACCGTTATTTCTGCAAATAAAAATTGTCTACACTCTCATAGACAAATTATACTTGGGCCTTGCTGCCTTGCACATTTCTGCTGTGGAAATATTTCAGTGTGAGAGAAAATATGTCTATATGTAAAGCAGTTTCAAATTAAGTTCTTAAGCTTGTACAATTCCTGATATGGACAGAACTGTACCCATATGAGTTGCCTTCCTTTCAGATAAGAACTGAAGTACTGCTCTTGATGCTGGAACCAGCATTTGCTTGTTTGCAAAAACTTGCTGCCATTTATTTAGTGCAGCCTTATTTGTGCTGACAATTGCAGATAGGTCTTATGGAGCTGGGCCTTGGTGGTCGCATACAGTAATTCTTACTGTTTTGCTCTTGTGCTATTTAGTTGTATAGTTTCTAGAACTCAAAATAATTGCATTGAAATTTTTGCTTTGTTGTCTTACTGATTTAACATCCTCAGTAACACAGATAAGGGTCTGATAGTTTCACATCTCAGTTGTGATTTGCAAGGCCTTCTGAAAGAGTTCCCTGTAATGGGTGCATTGCCTTTTGCCACTACCAGGATGTTTCTAGCACAGGAAAGCTGCAGCTTGGAGCCCAAGGGCTGAAGGGAGAGTTTGGGAGAGCAATACAGTGCTGGGCACTGCAAGAAACATAAAAACTGTGAGGGCTAAATGTTTTGTGGCCTGTGAGGTGTCTCTTGCTCTGCAGAAATACTGGTAAAATATTATATATTTTAATAAAATTAAAATTTTATTTTATTTTAAAATAAAACCTGTATTTTAAATACTGGTTTAAAATACATAGGGAGCCCCCTCCTTGCCTCTTTCAGGTGTACCACGTGTCTTCGGACAGCTACGAGACGCAAAACCAGCACTATGGAAGGAGCTTGACCAAGGAAACAGTAAAGGATGGTAAGTAAGAGGATTGGAGTGTCAGTGGGCTTGGATTTTTTCATTTAAATACTTATTTATAGAACAGTTTGGAAAAAGTGGTCTGGGTGTTCCCGTTTCAAAAGTCCATTTTGTCCTCGTGTCAGACAGTTCTTTGGCTGTTCCCTGTAGTATGTGAGCTGCCTGTCAATCAGAAATTAAGTGTGCAGTTGGCTGTAACAGCACTGCAGACTATAGGAATTTTCTCCTCGTGTCTCTTTTACTACTAATAAAGAGAAAATTCTAGAATTCAACTTTGCAGCTTTGAAACTATAATGAAATTGAAATACTTAAAAGTATTACATGCTTTTATTATAAATTATTTTTTTTTGTCTGTAGTCTTCTGTGAATATCTAAGTGCATTTTGTATTATTTCTATTAGAAAGCTACTATGAAAGCATTTTTCAGTTCAAAGGACTTTATCAGTTGAAGTCAATCCACATGTTGCTCTACATTAACAAAGAACAGAAATGCTGCCATCATGGGGCTGTTTGGTGATAATTATTGCAAACTAGTTATTAGACACCTGCTCATCTGTCCCCCAGCAAGGAACAGAAGGTGTACACATGAACACACTCATAATAACAAACTTCTTAAGCCTATTTATGCATGGAGAATTTAATGGGTCCCTGCCCAAAACTGTCCAGACGCTCGTGAAACTGACCTGGGAGCAGGAACCATGTTCATTTACTATGTGCTCGGTACATTTACTTACAACCCAATCCCAAGCTGTAGTATTACACAGCAGGTGATGTGACTGAAGGTCTTAGAGTTCAGTTAGTAATTGCCTGAACAGAAACTACCTGAATGGTGTCTATTCCTTCAAATAAGAGCTATACTCATTCCCCCCACCAAAAAAAATGGTTTGTTTTCCATTCAGAAATTAAAATAATCCAAGTATGTGTGTATTTCTTGCAGGCATCTCAAAGTTTTTCCACAGTGGGTACTGCTTGAGAAAAGATGTGGTAGCTGCCAGCATTCAGAAGGTTGAAAAGATTTTGGAGTGGTTTGAGGGCCAGACACAGCTCAACTTCTATGCAAGCTCATTGCTGTTTGTCTATGAAGGTTCATGTCAAGCGACAACTGTGCGGTTGAGTGATGTCACCTTGTCAGAGAAGAGAAGGGTGCCCAAAGGCCTGTTAGCAGGTGGAGATGTATTGGAGTATAATAATAATATTCATGTAATAAATTCTACAGAGAATGGAAAAATTGAAGCCTCTGTAAGTAAAAGCTTGTCTGAATTTTATGCACTTCACAAAAAGGCATGCTCGAAGAGGCACCACAGTCAGCTCTCTCTAAAAGTTGAAAACTCAGAGCAAGACGATGTGTGGAAAACCAGCACCTGCATTACACAGGAGCACCTAAACGGAAATGTTCTACCCCAACTGGAAAAAGTTTTCTATCACGTACCAGCAGAGACCAAGGAAAGTGCAAATGTTGAAGTTCGAATGATTGATTTTGCTCATGTGTTTCCTAGCAACGCAAAGGATGAGGGCTATATTTATGGTCTGAAGAATCTAATCAGAGTACTGCAAAATATTTTGGATAACTGAATTCTTTGCTATGTTTTTTTATTGGGGGCCAACGATAAAGAGCAACAACATGAAGAATTTCTGCACTTGTAGTGCTGTATAACTGGGTTTGTATTGTTCTATATTTTATTTGTCTTTGTACTTTTGGTAGAAGGGTTTAACTTTTTTATAATTTCACTCAGGAAAAAATACTGCTAGTTAATTAGGAAGTGTGAAAGGATGAAGATATTTGAGATAAAGCAGGATGAGTAAATTAATAGAATGAAATGTATGTGGTTGACTTAAGTCCAAGAACTACCAGAAGCAAGGGTTATGTTAGTTCCTCTAATAACTTTAGCATAGATGATGTTTTTGCCCATTTAACCTTGACACTGAGCCACATCTCCATTAAGAGGTGTTTAGAAAATAGACTGAAAGTCATAAGGTGCAGGATTGATGTCTGCAGTACTGCCCTTGTGTTTACTGTATTTGAATAACTGGAGTAACTCTGCATGGAGAGAAAGAAATCCTGTTCTTAGTCAGCAGTCTCGCCTGAAGCCAATGCATCCCAAAGTGCTTTTCCATGTCATGGGACAATATTGTTCTTTCAGTCCTTCCCCCTTTGTGGATGTCTGTAGCCGATGTTCACCACAGATGAGCTATCATGTAATTTGTGTTGAGGTGCTAAGAAAATGCTGGAGTACAATACCATAATAGGCTTGAACTGCACAACTTCTAGAGAAACTGTTTGTTCTTAAGAACAAGTGAAAGAAGGCAAATGCAAGATGTTCCAGGAGCTAATTTGGTTTAGGAGATTGTCAGTCTGTTAATGGAGTGTCTGATGCTGTGATTAAGGAAAATGTCTCACCCTGTTCTCATGGCCCTGCTCTAATAACATTGCTTTAAAAAAGCAAACTAATAGAATGGGGAAACAAGTGTTTTGGGTGAGTGTACAGAGCTCTTCTGGATGTAATCAACTTGTATTTTTGCAGTGAGTGTTTGATGCTTCCACTGCTGGGGAGCACTGACTGGAACCACAAGCAATACAGGTGGAAGAGCCTCCTGTGGGATCATTTAGCCTTGGAGCCACTAGGTGTGCCACCGCTTGTGCCAGTGGAGCTGTGGCTCTCCCGTCCTGGGGCTGCAGACGCTGCAGGTTTCTTTAGTGACATACAGGCAAGCTGTGTTATTTGAAAGCTGTCCTATTTCCTTCCTTTTCACAAGAAAAATTCAACTTTTGTGTTGAATACTTGAGATCAGTATGATGTGTCCAAAGCAATTTTGGTGTATCTCTTCTGTATGCTGTGTATGTAGCTGTGCTGCCATGCATATTACAGTGAGCTGTATGAAAAGTGGGAATGGAGGAGTCTTGCCATCCCTAGAGTAAGATTTTAATGCTTAAAGCATTTCCAGGACGAAAATGTTTTAGAATGGATTTGGTCATTGGAAACATACATCTTTTTTGTGTGGACTTAGTGACCCTATGGCCTTGCTGCTCTCTCTGTATGATGTTCTTCACTATGCACTCAGCTGTGTACAGCTTGACAAGTTCATTGGACATCTGTTTTCTACATGACAAAGAGATTCATATTTTTCAAGCAAATACGCTTGAAATAGTAATTTTTTTAATAAAGCTGAATTTTTAGCTCTATTTGAGAGCTTGGTTTAATTGGGAGAAACAGGGTATTACTGTGTATAGAATTACATGGTTTAAACTTCAGAGCTCATATTGGCCAATACATTCAAGACTGAAACCAACCTTTTAATAACATGATATTTCAGAAGTATGGGAAAAGGGGCTTGCAGGAAGGGTGAAAATTCCAGTGTGTTGAAAATTTTATGGGAAATACAGTGAAGTCTGACAGGGGAAGTACCAGGAAGAGGGACTTTTTTCCTACCTGGTATTTCTCTTGCACCTTATAGTTAATATATTCCCAACTCTCTGTGATTTAATTTAAGCCATGTTTTAGAAAGAGTTTGTGGTTTTAATTGCTTTTTCACTGGTTTCTCTGTTATAATTTTGTTGTTCTATCCCCTAAATAGTCAATGCTAGAGTAGTGCAGACTTGGTAGTGGCCTTGTATGATAAAGTTACAAGGTTTTATAAGAAAATATGGGCAAAACCATTTAAACATCATTTTTGTGCTCTGTAATTCATCTCTTTTGGATTTTAATCCATTTTGTACCAGAGAAATGAGGCATTTTCCTCAAGTCAGTTATTGGAAAATGATTAGTATGCACTTAGTACCATGCACTCACCTGTTTCTGCTTTAAGATACATGTCCTCAGTGTTTGAATGCTCTTTAAGTATTGATTGTTTTGTTGGCTATGGCAGTAACACGCCTGGAATATTGTCAACCTGTCAGAATATTTTGAATAAAAAAATTTTATCATGGTTTTTGTACCAGTAGTTATTATGAATGTATTTCTGATAATTTAAAATGTAGCTTAAGAAATAACAGTGTTTTTCATTGGAAATTGTGTAATTAAAGCTTGCCATGGAGATGTTTGGACATAGTGCCAGCTGTGAGTTTGAGCCTGCAGAGGCCTTATATTCACACTGTTCTTGCAGATTTTAGACATGAAGTGTCTTGTGTCTGAGCCAATTGTTTTCAGTTACAGTTGGAAATGTATTTACAGAAATCATTAAGCATTACAGAAATCAATAAATAAATCATTAAATGTAGAATTACATTTCTATGTAATTAGAAAATGAAGAGGTAGACAATGGGTCACCGAACTGATGTGTACTCTCAGTGACTGATCTCCCTCTCTCAGCAATGCCCCTTTTGTTCTCTGGACAAAGTATGCAGGATAGGCAACCATTACATGGAAATCTTTACTGGAATGGTTATAAGGCTTGTAGATGTTTATGTCCTATAAAACAGTGGGTTGCTGCCCCAGCCTAGTGTGTAGCTGGGTGCTAGGCCTGTTGAGGAAACTGATGATTTTATGCAATAAGAGTTGGGTTTAGCAGAACCAACAGAACTCCTGCAGTATTTTCACTCATGGACTCTGAGAATATAGGCTTCTGGAGCCTTTCTGCCTAGGTGATGTGAGAACTGGGCTTAGGCTTACCTAAGGAGAACTTGAGATGTATAAATTTTATGAAAACATTTACAAATGTATTTTTGAATATGGGTGAAATTTCTTGCATAAATTGCATTGGAAGTTATTATGCCACTCTGAAATAATTAGAATAATTTAATCAATTTGTTTTATGAACTGAACTGGAGACTTTACTTGTAGTTATGATTCTGATGAAACTTGGACTCTTTCATTTTTTTTCTACTGAAATGCATAACCAGAGCATTCTTTTCCATAACTGCACAATTTCATGAAGAACTTTTAAAAGTACTGAGTAGATTAGGAAATCACTAATTTCCATTAAATTTATTAGAAGAGTGTGTATGTTATTAAAATATTTCAGTGCATGTACTATTGTAATGTTAACATGCCATGAATCTGGAACCTCAGTAAAACTTCTCACCTGCACTGAGCTCCTGATGCGAGTCTGGATTGTGCAGAGTTTAAAATGGGCCTTCTCAGCTGTAACAGCAGCAGTGGTGAAGAAATGGTGCCACCTGGCCACATCAGATGTGCAAGAGTGTTTACATTATGACCCTAAAATTATTGGAGTGACTTGCTCACTTCATGATACAAAGCACAATCAAATGTAGGAAGACACTGGAAGAGTGAAGACTCACATCCACAGTTGCTGTTTAAATTTAGGATTAGTTGTTCATTCTCCTAATTCCTTTAGGGTTTTTTTTCCCTACATGCAATTTCCTCCTGAGTGCCCTTGCCACAGGTGACATCATGATGGAAATTTGTGTATCCTAAAAAGCTTTTGCCGTGTAACTCCTCATGAAGTGGCGCTATTGAAAAACACCATAAAATGTGTCGAATACTGTGGGAATACACTCTCCCCTGAACAAGCAGGAGTGGCTGCTGGTGGACAGCATGATGGGAGACTGGATCCATAGGCTTTGTGCACGTTCTTTACTCATGAGGTGAAGAGGACGTTCTGGAGGCAAGGTGAGTGACAGCTGAACTGTGTGTAGTTTTCCTTCCCTCACTGCAGTTCAGGTGGAGGTTTGGGTTTAAGGAGGTAGTACAGCAGAGAGCAGTGAGAGTTCCTAAGGAGACCTGAGCAGGACACTGGGTCCATGCTGTAGCACAGAGAATGGCTACAAGTAAAATACAAAGGCTGCAGATCTTTGGTTGTCCCACAGACAATATATATATTGTGCTTATTCACTGGGTTAAGACAGGATGTTATCTGGGAAGTGCATTCATCACCATAGCCATGGGTGAAATAGTGCCTGTTTTTCATGTGCACAGCAATCTGTAAACAGAAGCTGCAGTAGAAAATTGTCATCCAAAGGGAAAATATGTTTGAAGGGGAAAAATAAGCAAACTAAGAGTTGTACCACAGAAAACATATTTCAATAAATATCTTTTACTCTGGTCTTGTTTAGTGGAGATGGGCCTTGTGGATTTGGAGTTAAACTTGTTACATGACATTCAGTAGCAAAGTCGGAACAAAGGTACTTCAAAACACTGTAGTTTGAATTATGTGCATTGGTTCAAGTAGTTATTTCATAGGTCACTTTTTAAAAAAGAAAGTAACTTCCAAATACAATGTGTTGCATGTGACTAAATGAAGCTACAGTGCACAAAGACACTTTAATCCTCTGGGAACTGTATTGGAATGTAGATGAAACCATGTGAAATTGCACCTGATGTGTTTTTAATAATTTTTGAGATTTAAAGTTCTACATTCTTTATGGTTGATGAATGAATGTGTCTAGTCTAGTCTCAGTTTCTTTGATCTAAGTGTCTAAAAGTGCCCCTTAATCTCCTCTGATCTGTGTTTGTAATTTCATTTGCTATTTTCTGACATTCCTGGACCGTAGGGAGCATTGTTAATACTACCTATGTTTATTCTATAGGACATTGTGCTGTGCTACCTGCCAAGTTTTGTAACTTAATTATTAGTGATATTTAGGGTCATTCTAATAGTTGTATATTTGGAAAATTATTAAAATTTTCTGCAAGTGACTTGGACGTATAATTGGTTTCTTTTAAATACAAGAAGATTGTTGAGAAAAAAGTTTACTTGACTATTACCTGTACTGATGAATCTTCCTTTCTTTCCTTCTTTCTCCTTTTTTCTGTGCACTCTATAATGGGTTTCCCTTGGATTTACCAGGTTTGCTTTACCACCATATTTTCGTCATAGCATCTCATTGCCATTGTTTATTGGGAATACCTGCTGAGTATACAAGATTCGTGTCTTTAAAATTAAAAAAAAATAAATTCCACAATCCTTTAAACTCATCCTGGAAAACCCTTAACAGGACCAGAAGAGGCTGTATATGTTGTTGATTACAAGTCTTTTTGCATCCAACATCAGGTCCCAAACTCCAAAAGCATGCAGGAACAGCCTTAGTGCTTCACTTTTAAGTTGGTTTGGAGGGGGGATTATGTTGTGAATATTTTTCTTTCTTTTTTTTTTTTTTTTTTAATATGTTGTCTTGTGTACCTGTCATGATGTAGAGCAAAGGATGGGACCACCATGCTTTGAGATGATTTATTGCTCGAGTAGGCCAGATAAGATCAGTCTGAAGGCATGAGGTTTAGAGGTGCAGCAAGTCAGCCACAGCTCAAGGTAGTCACAGCTTTCTTCTCCACACAGCAATATATTACATTTTGGTCCAATAGACAGTTGACACAAAACTTGTTTCTACTTATTCACCTATCACCTTTGCTTAATTTTGCTGCACTGCATCTTTGTGTTAGCCACTAAGCTGACAGGTCACATACACAAACCTCTATTACAGTTTCTAGGTGTCTAGCCTACTCTATAACTCAGTTATTACAGCTCAAACCTCAAACTATTTTACCTAATATAATTTCTTCCCTACTCTAGGCATATTCTTACTTATAACTATAGAGACCTAAGTTTATAATTTCTCTACCCAATGTCTGTGTACCTTCATCATTACATTAACCCAAGCTCTTTCCAAGGCTGCAGATTGAACCCTTCATCATCTGTAGATATTTTTTCCATTTCCCACATTTTACAAAGCTGTGTGAATGCGTTCAGTAGTCTTAAGTATTGTGCCATGGCTCTGTGCAGCCTTCCTTCCCATGCTTGAGAATTGGAAGAAATTACGGGGTGAGGCTGTAACTGGCAAAAACCACACTATTGTGAGGAACTAGGGTTTTTTGTGTTTTGAATTTAAAAAATGAATAGTGGTTATGCACTGAAGAATCTTGTACAGAAATCCCCATTTCCTTACTGGTTTGAAGTGAAGAAGGAATCACACTCTGATGCCTGCTCTCATCACTTGTCGAGGGTATTGACTGGCTGAGGCTTACTGTCTCTGCTCTTGTCAGGATATGGCCCTGTGTGACAACCAAACATACTATTCTCAGCACAAAGACCTACTGAGTCTCTGCTAGCATAGCTCTTGGATTTGTGTTCCACTGCCTCTGTGCACAGCATGACTGATGTGCTGGCAGATGCCAGATTTTACAGTCCCACTTAACTGACACATAAATTAACACTTTTTTGCTCTCCTGGCTTCCTCCATTTGGCTCATATTCAGGGAGGGAAGTGCCTCTTCTGTGTGGAGGAAAGATGGGCTGTGGGAGGGGAATGGGTGTTAATCTATTCAGTGCAGGTAGGTCAAGGGCAGCTGCAGGGGAGCTGCAGGTTGTACTCTGGGGGAGCCCAGGGCCAGAGGCTGTGACCTGCTGGCCCTCTGTATAATGAGGGCCCCGGGGACCTGTGGCCTGGCAAGGGGACTGGACACTTGGAGACAAAATAGGAGCGGAGGAACTCGGACTTTTGTGCTCAGACTGTGAGGGAATAAAAGCCAAGGGGCTCCTCGAAGGAACCACCTGGATTTATTTAGTTACTTGGTCATTGCACCAAGCTTAAATTAAGAATTTGAACGTCTGAGACTCTGCCATGGGAAGCCTGGGTCCATGCCCATAAGGTAACCCAGTGTGAGTGTGGGGTGCAGCTGCAAAGGGGCCTTGGTCCAGCTCAGGTGGTGTGCAAGAGTGAATGTCAGAGTGGTCCTGGATAGTCAGGGAAGTTTCCTTAACTATGGAGTGTCTCAAGAGCCATTTGAAAGTCTTGCTTTTAATATCAGACATTTCACTTATCTCTGTTGCTGCTCTGCTGATTTTGCTTATTCTTTTCACCTTTCTTGCCATCCCCAAATGCTGACTTCCTCTAAATGTACCTGTAGTTTGTGGTTTAGGCCAGCACAAGATTTGAGGATACATACAATCTAGAATAAGATTTGTTACGTGACATTCAGTAGCAAAGTCAGAACAAAGGTACTTCAAAACACTGTAGTTTGAATTATGTACAATAATTCAAATTATTTATTTGAATTATTTATTTTACATTTGATATTATATTATCAAATATAAAATACCTGCCATATACACATTTTCCTCTGGCCATCTCTACACTTCCTTTGATCTTGAACAGAACAAATAAATCCAACCTGTGTGTTGTGCAGTGTATCTGAAGGGCAGCCAATTGCCTGTTGCCCTGGATGGCAGTAAAGGATTGGTGTCAGCACACTTTGGTTGATGAAGCGTAAGGGGGAACTGAGTTCAGCCCATTTTTCCACAGCTATATAAACTGCAATAAGGCTGGCAATAAAAACTTGATTTTTTTAGCAGTTTCAGTGGATATAAATTGTGCCAGCAGATGGGAAGCTGTCAAATAGGTACCACGACCAAGTAACAATTTTGCAAAATCACTTCTCGAAAGAAACAAACCAGGAATAGCTACAGTGAAAATGCTGGCAACTTGGGCTTGGGCAACGTGAACCTTTTTTCAAGTACTCTGATACTCAAATACTGGCGTCTCATTTAGGATGTGCCCTTGGGCTTCCCCAATACTTGTTCATGTAACTTTGTAGGTTGAAGGGATTAATTCCCAAAAACCATCATGTTCTGTATCAATCAAAAACCCTTGGGAATTTGTTATGGGTTTCTATTCAATCGAAGCAGAAAATGATCATGCTACAATTTAAATCTGTAAAACCAATCATCCTTTGTTGAATATATTTGAATTTCAGCTTGAATACTCAAGTGTGGCTTCAAAATACTTAAGGAAAGAAGAGCTGGCTGGGCCCTGATGCAGGATCATACAACCTTGTGATAGGTCTTGCCCTGTTTAAATTTTCACTGTGGTCTGAGCTGTGGATGGTGTATGTTCTGGGACACTGCTTGGGTCACCACGGCGCATTTCATCTCCAGCTCAGGCTGGCAGTGCACTTCCCGCTGTCTTTTTCTTCCTATGCTGTGAAACACTGAGCTTAGGTGAAAGAAATCGGCCAGGAGACAAGACTCCTGTATCACCCTGAAATTACAGCCTTCTGATTGTATGGAGTATTGTATTTTCCTATTATTTATCCTTTTGATTGTTTAAAATGTTGCTAATTTCTTTGTTAATTTTTCT